ATGGGGCCTAAGGGCAAAGTGAATGGTAACGCGAAGTAATAGTTCTTTCATTTGGGGAATGGGGAGGTGCAGTTTAGCATTTTCTTTTTCAGTTGCTAAATTCAAAGTACAACCTGAACTACAATTAATTTCACCTTTCCTGTCTTGCTGGTTTTGAAACAGTGTAGGCTTGCTCTCAGAAAGCCTGCACCTGTTGATAGATTGTGGTGGTTTTTCCCCCTCATCCTACCTATTCTTCCATGTTCATTTTTCTGAGGAACATCCGTCATCATTTAGGCTTGTGTAACTGAAAAAAATGTTTAACAATTACTTAAAAGTACATATGAGAATCAAATACCCACACAGATTTGTTTTCTATTTGTGCTATTTACTTTGGACTGTAGGCATCAAAGAGCTCACCTAGGGATAGCTTTCGTGGGTTATCGCTTACCTGGCCAAGCATTTGAACCTAAGTCTCATCCTTCCTTCTTATGAGCAGGAGCGGCATCTTTAGAACTGGAGCTGTGAAGAATGTTCTTAAGTTGTTTGCAGACATATCAGAATGTTTTCATACAGGCTAGCAGCTAAGTGGAGCGATGATCAAGGAACGCTCTGTGCAGTGTAAATGGCTGTAGACCTTCTGCTTCAGGGACGTATTGCTCACAAATGCAAGTTTTGCATCACCGTCATCAAAGATTTGATGCCACTTTGCAGGAAAATCCAGTCCAGTGTTTGTTGCTCTGCCTGACTGAAAGGCCAAGGATGATGTGTCGTCTGTCATATGTTTGTTTTCAGGCTTTTTACCAAGGACTGATACACATCATTCCATATGAAGCAACAAATACTGTGCGTTCAGGATGAGGTTCAGCTGCTTCAGTTTCAGCTCACTGCAAACAGAATCCAGGCACTGCTCAGCTCGTGGGTGGTGTGCTCGTCTGAACCGTTTCTGAGAAGCCCATTTTCAACTCTCTCTTCTTTTGGGGCTTCTGCTGGCTGAGTAGGAAGTTTTGTTTGGTCAGTGCATGCTTTCTGGAGAACAGAAGAATCCGGAGAGATCGGCTTTTAAACCTGGTGGTTCCTGGCAAACTCTTGATCATGTAGTACTTGAAGGAGAGCAGGTGCTGGACAGTTAGTTCTGTTACTAGCTTCCTACATTAAATGGAGCAGTTGAGCAATACAGGCAAACTTCAACTTTGGTGTGCCTAGGATACTTACGGCTGTATGCATTATGATAGTTTGTGTCCAGGTTTTTTAACAGATGTGTCTGAATTTGTCAACACAGTTTGTAAATGTTTAATGCTTCACGCAAAAGCTTTTCTGCACAGAAAAAGGAGAATTTTGCAGTTTTGAAAAACTGCGAAAGCTGAAACATCTGTCTTTCAAATTTGCCTCCAGTCATTGAAAATCTGAAGAGTGACAAGGACTGGATTTTTCTCTGTCATTTTGGCTCTTCTTTTCTGAAATAGTCTCAGGACAGAAAGTTTAGGTCTGATATACACAGCTGTGAACAGCATTTACTAATTAGGACAAACCACTGCTTTTTACTTCTCTGAAATCTGCCACCTGCCTTTGCATCTTTTATTTTAGCTGCCCCTTGAATAGGCAGTTCAGTGGGGTGGAGGGCTTGGGCGGCTTTCAGCTGTATAGCTGTAGCTAAAGTTTCAGAGGGCTGATGATGAACGTTATGAATATTCTTTCAGTCTTTTTTCTCTCCTGTTTTGACGTACTGGAAGCCCCAACTGCCCTTAAGGTCATGCTGTTTACCAACACAAAATACACAATTTAAACTATCGCTGTAATGGAAGAGGCTGACAGGGGACTGACTGAAGAGGGCAGATTCCAAACAGAATGAATTACTGCCTTGATACCTGAAAATTTGTACAGTATTCCTTTTTTCCTTTGCTTTTAATGATACATGATTCCCTTCAAAGTTAAGCAGGCGCTTGAAGCAGTCGTTTAGTTTATTATTTACTTGAAAACAGGACAAAAAGAATGATGCTGGAAATGATAAAATACAGTAATTCAAAAGATCACCTTTTTTGAAATTTTTTTTTTTTAATTATTCTCAAAAGAGACTTTCTTGCAGTTGAAGCGCGGGCTTTTACTTAGCCCAAGTCATTTTAATAAGAAGCCAAGAGCTTCTGCTTTGTTTAGTATTGATAAATGAAAAAGACTTGGGTATATGAGCATGAACTCATTGAATTCACGTTACTAATTTTAACGTGATCAGGGATGTTCCAAAATACAGCAAGTGTGATGCTGCCATTTTAAAATAACAGTATTGCTTGTGTTTCGTTGCTGCAGTTCGGGATAATTCTCACTTTATTATTATTTTTAAGGATGCTGAGCTCTTTGGGGGAAACTGTATAAAAGTGCAGAGCAGTAACATAAAATATTAATTAGAATCACATACTTTAAGTAGGATTTCAGTGTGTTGTTCTGTAAGCTGTTAGTTGTTTAAAGAATATTTTTTCCTCTTCAAAGTATTGCAAAAAAAAAAAAAAAAGAACAAGAAGCCAGTGTTTTACTGCTCTCATTTGCAGAAATGTTAAAAGAGCCTGTTTTCATATCCTGAGATCATGTCATAGCCCATGAAGCCAAGGGCGGTGCTCTGAATGGAGAATACCTTGCAACTGCAGTTTGGTGGTGAGGAAGCTAGCAGGCCATGCAAACCACGGCGGTGGTTTCTGTAGCATGCTGGTGACTATATGCTTGTTATTGCTGCAGGCACCATCTTTCATGTGAGAGGTAAAGCTACCATCCTTTAAGAGCTTTGGCTATTGTGACCGCTGTGACACTTTAAACAAGTATAAGAGTTAATCATCTCAAACGCCTGGAATGATTGTAGGACTCAAACTGAATTCCTTTTGTCTGTCATTTTTCCTCTTCCTCCCCCCCCCCCCCCTTTTTTAATATATAATATTTCTCTTCCATAGGAGCGCGGCCAAAACAGCTGTTTTGCACCACTTTTTGCCAGCGGCGAGCAAGCTGCTCCATATTAATAATCTCCTACCAGCTTGGCCGTCAGTGAGTGCAAGCGCGTTCTTGTTGTAAGCAGGCCTAGTGCTGAGTTATGTCACGGAAGCAACGTTTGCCCCACTGAGCGCTGGCCTCACTTATGGGCCGAAAGACTTCTGTTCTTCTCTTCGTGTTCTTGCTATTGTGCGGGGTAGTTTATTTTGCCCGCAGAGAAGGATATTAGCTATTCCCTCCAGCCCTCCTTCACAGGAAGGGCCACCGGAGAAGCGTTGGCTGTTTCCTGGGGAATTTCTTTCAGTCGCGTCTCACAGGGTTGCCTTGTCCTCACCTCAGAAGGCTGGGTGCATTGCAGGAGTGCTCAGCCTTAAGCTGCATTAGCTCTCTTCTGCCTCATTATGTGCGATGTAGGGAAGCAAAGAACCTATTATATTCCCATTTTGCCTTCATCTCATGATTAGAGAGTGAGCCTCCAACTACCTTTACTGCATGGGCAACTACAGCAAAATGATAAGGGACTTCCTTATTTGAGGGCTCCCTGAGGGTTACTGGGGGATGGAAACGCTGATAGATCAGAACTAATTGAAGATGATGGGCCCTTGTGAGGGAGCAGATGAATTTACTGAAATGCTCTACCAGCGGAGTGAAATTGCGGACTGGAGGCTTTCACACAATTCAGTGGATACCTCAGTAAGTGCGTGCAGAGGGCAAACGATGCAGTTTTTGAGGACAGTGCGGGAGTGAGGGTTTCCAGTGATTTGGGGTTTTTTTGGCATCTCTGCGTGTTTAGTAGTGGAATTTGTGCCCGGGAAGCTGGATTCATCAATGTTCTTCTGTATTTTCTGGAGAGAGTAAAGCAGCTGTAGAGGAGGAACGCAGCAAGAGTACATTAATGGGGGAAATATGGAAAGATTGGAAGAAAGCTGTGTGTCTGAAAACGTAGTAAGCTCCAACCAGAGACTGTTTTTCACTAGAAGAGTAACTGATACAGATGCACTAAACAGCTAGAGTCGAGTGGACCTGCAAGTTAAACACAGCTTATTTAATGTGATTTTATATATTTTTTAAAAACAATCTGTGAAGCATGTTTTAAAAAAAAAACCCACGAAAGCCCACAGAATTCAGGAATGGTAAATGATACCTGGAGCTGCGTGTAATACCTGCTGTTTCTGGTTACCTTACTCATTCTAGCTTCCTTTCCCTTCCCTTAAAAAATTTAAACTCGCAATGCTGATAAAGGTACTGTTTTTCCAAAGGAAACTGGCACCTGCTGGCTTTGGCCTGTTACCAACATGCATGTCCATGCATATATACAGATACACATACATATAGACAGCACAAATTAGAAACTTGCCACTTTCTCCATTCAAGTTTTGAGGTAATGGTGTTGTGGTTGTGTGCTATTTTAAATGGGAATAAGAGCTGCAGAAATACTATGGGGAAAAGATCATTGTAGGCCTCAGAAAACAGCAGGGAAGTATACTGAAGTGGTTAAATACTAGATTTATGACAACTTCACCTTTAGGCCTTAAAGAAAATCCTAAGAAAGCTTTCTTTTTTGTGTGCTAAGTACTAATCTAATCTAATTTCTTCTTTAGCAATTGCCATACACTCTAGACAATTGTAAAGTAATCTAATTTCTTCTTTAGCAATTACCGTACACCCTAGACAATTGTTAAGGCCAGGGTATTCTGCATTTATTTTTCTAATATTCTGAGTTTTACAATTTGTTCTGATAACCCCCTTTGTTTACGCACTACAAAGGGGATGTGTTTGAAGTTTTCAACCCCTGCAGGAAAAAAAGCAGAACTTTCAAATGATGCTGCTCACTAATTATTTTGATGCCTTGACAGTTTACTAGCCTGCAATTGCTGACGCTTCCTATCGCTCTGAACTGAAATAGCTGTAGCGTGTTCACTATATTTACCAGGGATGGTGAATCACTTGATGCCTGGCCATATCTCTACAGCAAAGGAGAAAAATCCATTTAAAACTCTGAAAAAATGCAGTAATAACCTCTTGGGGGTCTGTTTTATTGTTTTCAGGGTGCTGGGTGCACTGCACTGGTGGTAGCTGTGGTCGCAAGGAAGTTAGAACTTACCAAAGCTGAAAAACATGTGCATAATTTCATGATGGACACCCAGCTAACTAAAAGAGTAAGTCACACTTTATATTCACAACTGAAAAGGAAATGTGTGTTAAATCTGTTTCTGCATTTGTTTTAAATGATCTCATGCTCCATTCTCGTATTGAACTTTGTCATGAGTGTGATTTTGCAAGATGCATGAGGGAAGTAAATGCCCTGAGCTCTCTGCAGTCAAGGGCAACAGCAGGTTACCGGCAGATTTTGAGGGTTTGTCTATCCTTTTATAGAGGGTCCTTGCTGCTGGAAGACAACTCATGTAGCCAACGGTTAAAAGCTATGAAACTAGAGACTAATACATTAAACTGACAAACTGTCATACAGCCTATGAGAAGAATACATAGAATTCTTGTGGCTAAAATAGATGAAATGACTGATTGTATTTCAGAATTTCAAGCTATGAAGGACTGTCCCTTAGAAAAAGATATGCCTTCTTATACTTAAGAATAAATTTCAAGTATTCATAGTTTGTGAGTGAGGTAGTCTTTGCAATTGCTTTGTGTGAACTGAACACATGGCTCACACAGCTGCACACAGTAATGCAGCAGCCTGAAAGATGTTTTGTAGATAATTAAAATATTTGAAAGAGGTATCAAGAAAAAAAAAAAACTTTAGAAATCACTGACGTTCACACCAAATATTTTAAAATTTTCCTTAAGAGATATAGCTTGAATTTGTGTTGACAAATAACATGTTGGAAAATGAAAGAACACAGCAAAGGAGGCAGTAGAAATCCTGTGTCCAGGAAAAACAGGTCAGTACTGAGGAAACGAGAAAATGAGTGAGAGCTACAAAATCCTCTCCACTTGGTTTATCTTAGTTATTGAAGCGAACCAATGCTGAGAGGAAAGCCTTCGTGCTCAGAATGGGAACTCACCGGAGCTTGTCCTTACTGATGGATGGAGAGCCCTGAGGCAGAAAGTGGGCCCCGCTCCGGATCGGGAAGGTCGGCTGTGTCAGCAGAGCTCTCGCAGCAGTGCTCGCGGCGCTGCCTCAGCTCCTCTGCTGAGGAGACCCAGGAAATGTCTCTGGCTGGGGCAGGCGCTCCTCTCAGGCATGTCAACGCGTTCCTCTAGTTGTCTTAGCTTCCACGTCTCTGTGGCAGTCTCCAGGGAAAAGCGCACATCTCCCCTAAGCAGTTAGAGTGGGGAAAACCAAAGACGAGTAGGAAGGCAGTTCTTATATAGGCGTAAAGGGTGGGATTCGTGTAACCTACCTTAAAGAGTCCAGTTGAGCTTGCTGCTTTACGTCCCCATTATAGTCAGTTAAGGTCCCGTTGATACCAGGCCCCAGAGAATAGTTTGTCCCTTCCTAGCAGAGACATATGCTTTTGGAAATCTACACTGGTGATACCAAAAATGAGGTGACTCTTACCTGAGTCGGTTCATTTGATTAGAGTAGGAATCTACTGTAAATTTAGGTATTTGGCCAAGTGAATCCCACCACAGGAAACTAAAATCTGAAGAGTATGGAGAAGCAGGTAGCTAAAATAGTCTCTCTCACAGATGGTGATTTAGTGGCAGATTTCAAATGCAGCACACTGCTTTGATGCTTGTCCATGATGAGGTAAGAAGTTGCCATTCAGGGAGCTGACAAGAAAACTCTTCAAGTGTAATCTGACAGCTGAGCTGAAAATTTCTTTCAGGGGTAAAAAAGGTTTTGTGAAGATTGGCCAGATTTTGAGAGTCTGGTGCTCATCTGTGCCTTTTAAAGTTTATTCTATTCATCTGTCCTTCATATAAATCTAAATATCAGTTCAGTAGGGCATCCACGTGGTGCTTTGGTAGCTTCAGTACTCCCAAAACTCAAAGCGAATGAAAAGCAAACCAATCCTTTAATTCTGAGATGCACGTCAGATCACAAATCAGCTCCACAGATACTGGAGAGGTTTCCTCGGAGCCTGAAGACAGCCAGACCTTACAGAAATGCAAGGACTGGCGATCTGGAGGAGGGCTCTAAAACCTGATCCCGCTTCTACTGAAGTTGGGGCCAAAGTTCTCCAGAGCTTTGACAGGTGCAAGGTGGGCGCTCCTGCCCGGGGGGAGCGACTGCACGGCATTCCCACAGGGTCTAAACTGATACATCGGCTTAGCTCTGACGCTGCAGTGACTGGCATGATAGAAAGCTGGAGGGAGAGAAAATAGAGATGAATAATAAGGACTGTTTGCCTTTATAAGTAACCTAGTAATTGTGGCATTAATCAACATTGCATTTAAATTGTCTATTGTTTTCAAGTATTCCTCAGAATATTGGAGGGCCAGGAAGGAACTGCGGGTACTCTAACATTTTATAGACCCATTAAAAAAATAATGAAAGAATTCATGAAATAGAACACTAGCTACATTCATTAACAAGTTATTTTTCTTCTCCTGTGAAAACGGTAAGAAAAAGAACAGAATAAGGAAACAAATGCAGAAAAATAACATCTGTGTGAACAGCTCTGGAAATTTAAGACTGTTAAATTGCTAAGAAAAATAGGAGGTAATAATCATACAACAAGAAGAGAGGAACTTTACAGTCCTATAAAATACATCTAGTTAATTACCACACAGATAATGCGTGAATATTCCCTCACTGTAATTTATGTTGTCATAAACACCAAATGGTCCTAACTCCTTTCAAGAGGGACAAGTAATTCCCACATGTAAAGAAAGCTGGTCCCGATATCACTCTTACAAGCAACCCAGAAATTGCTCAGCTGTCTCTCTGGTCAGACCATTTCTTTCTGGCCTCCCTGCTGCAGCTTCCTGATATACCCACTTCCCACAGGCAGTGTCTTAAGGTGCTTTAGAAAGGGTTTACACTGGAATGGATTAAAAAAAAAAAGACATACAATACTATTTTCGTCAGCCTAGTATTTTTCTTTTATTTAACAGGTGAAAAATGCAGCGGCCAATGTACTCAGGGAAACATGGTTAATTTATAAAAACACAAAGCTGGTTAAAAAGATAGACCATGCGAAAGTAAGGAAACATCAACGCAAATTCTTGCAAGCTATTCATCAGTAAGTATTATTTTGCTTTGGTTTTCCATTTTTGTTCTTTCTTTCTCTCTCCCTACTGAGACCTTTGCTCTTGAGTTTCCATTTTCTCTTTCTTTCAGAGTAAGACAGAAAGGAGGTTTTTATTGCAGTGTCTGTTTAAAAAAAGAAAGTATGCTGGCTGTGTATGCCCGACAGAAGATAAATCAAAATTGTTCACAGTTTTTTCCTGGGTGTTCATAATGGTTCATGAATTAGCTGAGACTTGGCATGCATGTGTTTTGCCACTGAGACTATCCTTTGTTGCATCTATTTGCCCTACAGGTAAAAACGCTACAAAATACAGTAGATGATAAGAGAGGAAAAAAAAAAAGGTTTCATTTGTAGCAAATGGTTTAAAAATTTCACATCAGAACGATGCCATAGAACAGGTGCTAGGCTGTGTTTAATGAAAAGCAAATGCAATCAAGTTTTCGGCTTACTTTGTGCAGCTCGACAGCAAGTAGCTGCCTCTCTCTCCATATTTCCTTGGTGGTTACAATCGCTTAGTGGTTCCAGTCAGCTATTACCCGACATCAGGTGTAGAGAATGGGAGTATATGCCAGCAACTGTTGCGTGGCTGTTGGATGCCCCTGGCGAAGTTCAGCTCAGCTCTTCCCCTCTGCTTAACACCTAAAAGGACTGAAAAGACGCCTGAGAGTTGTGACCAACCGAAGGATTAAGCTGAATTATGGTATGCCAGTCTATAAATATTTAGCTAAAATTTATCATATGTCTTTTTCATAAAGCTATCTCACTGCTAGAACTGTACAATGGTTCAGTTACTATTCCTTAAATTACATGGAAAAAAAAAAAAAAAGGCCTTTTGTTCTCAGGAACCGCAGATTCATTGTAACGAACGGCCAGGACCCATGCCACTATTTGTGTGCACTATTTGACATAGCCATCCAGCCTGGGGCAGCCGTTTGTACAGCCTACTGAATATGTTTTCATGACATACATATAGTGGAAATGTGGCTAAATTAATTAAGGGTCAGTTTTAACCGCTTCTTCTTTTGGGATAATGCCTAAGAGCGGTCTGTGTGTGTGTGAGCGAAGCTGCGAGGAGGGATGCATACCACTGACCCTCCTACAGTCATGCAGCCGCTCCTGTTTGTTTGGCATCGTTTTGTGTGGAAGCGAGGCCAGGGAAGGCCAGCTTATCATAATTGAGGCTAACAGTCACTGCTTCTCTGGCTCATAGCGTCGTTTTAAGGACTAGCGAGCTAAGCTTTAAAGTACGAAATAGTCTACAAACCTTAATTACTGGCTCATATTTAGCAAACTTTCAAGGTTAACTGTGACTGTGCTCTTGTAGATCTAGTTGAGGCACTAGCAAACAAGGCCACAAAAGTGGAGGCATATATATATATATATATATATGCTAGCACATTCTGTACATCGTTTGCAAGACTTATTTGAATCCCTGACTGCAAAAGTTATACCTTAACATTTTAACCTTATTATTTTGTGAGAGTGAGTGAGTGAGCGTGCGTGCATGTGCGCAAGGAGGGCTCTAAAATAAGCACAGCAGGCTTGAGCTGCAGCTTTGCATCTTTGCATCACCATTCAAGCCCAGAAGAGCTCCACAGGTTATAATGTGGTGCTGTGCAGCTGCCTTAAAAAAATTCATTAATCAATCAGGGGTTTTTTTTGGGGGGAGGGAAGGGGGGGGTTGGAGAAGGTGGCAGCGTTCATTTTTTTTCCTGGCTGTACCAACCAAACTCTGAACAGCTGTATTAATAACACATTTCCCTCTGTCCTTTAGCACTTTGCTTCCCATTCTAGAACCTGTTTTATTTAAGCAAAAAAAAAAAAAAAAAAAAAAAGGGATAACTTTCTCAGTATGCTGAGGACTCTGCCATGGAGGGAACCATTGCTCTAGTGGTCTGCTTTCTTCCAGCGGTAGCAGGGTAGCTGGGTGCAGTTTGTTTGCTCTCCCCTTGTGTCTCTGAACTTTTCTCAAGGGACTCACAGCAGCATCTGCCGCTCATCCATCTTTCTGGAATCTCACTTTTTCTTTTTGGTCCTTCTTCCTCAACCACTGGGCTGGAGCCAGGGATGAAAGGCGTGAGGTTTTTGGGCCAGTTGTTTTATACAAGAAATCAGAGTAGGTTACAGTAACAAACTCAAACTCACACTCACAGCCCTAAAAGGGCTGAAGATATGGCCTGTGACTGTTCTACCTTCAGCTGGTCTGGGTCTTTCTTTTTTTTTTCCCTCCTCATACACGCTAAGTAAGGTGAAGATGAAATCGGCACTCTAAACAAGAATATTGCATTTTTTAATGTATCATATGAGTAAGAAAAGCTACAAATGATAGCTGATGGGAAGGTTTCAGTGTACTGCAAGCTCCCTTGTCATAAATGCAAGCAAATTAGACTGAGTGAGGCAGTCACGGAGTAGAAGCAATAGCAACTCTCTAGGACGTCGCACCTGCTGAATCGAGCCCACTGTGCTCATTTGGTTGTTTTAGTATATTTTACAGTTTGTTTTCTTTTGTTTTGTCTTTTTATTTCAACAAAATGAAAATAGAGCTCGGAAGTAAGTTGTATGAGCTGTTCCTTTCTAAATTTGCAGAATTTACCACTGTCTGCATGCAAAAAATAGAGTCTTTATTTGTGAACTTCGATGGTCTGATTGCTGCCATGGAAACGCGATCCAGAATCATGATCTTTTGCTGTGATAAGTGAAGTTCATAATATCAGGATGTTTCATATTTCCTCTTAATGAACTTACTTAAGAACAAAAGTCTCTCACTTTTCTTGTAATCTGACTGCTGCAGCTAAAGACTTGCCATTACCTAGAGATGCATTTTTTACAATCTGTGCGGATTCGGGGCTGGTTTCCATTAGGCACTATCACACTGATGTCAGCTAGTACTTCTTTTGATAATAGATGGCTCAAAAATTTTAGAAGGCAACATGCAAACTAGCAAATAGGTGATTGAAAGAATCTTAAGAAAGACAAGCAGAAAGTATATATATCCTGCAAATTGTTTGAGAGAGAGCGCTCACCAAAACACTAGGAGTATCATTCTGTAGTCAAATCAGTACATACTTCTTTCCAAGTAAATACTCTGTTCTGGGGCTGTAATGATATAACTCATAACACTGGAGGGGCCTCCTTACTTTTTCCTTTAAAATAGCTCCAGCTTGTAGCCTCTGAAAGCACCATGCCTACAAACCACATCATAGACATCGTGCGCTGAAGGAAGCCTGAGGAGGAAAAAGGTGTGTATGACATTCAGCAACAAGCTGCTGGAACGTCACCTTTATGTGAACAACTGATTTCTACCTTAACAAACAGAGTTATGTCTACATATTAAGAAAGATAGCTAGTCACTGTTCACAACTTAGTTTCCTCGTGGAGGTTAGCCTAGATGTGAAAGGCAAATGTTTGGTAACGCAAGATCTGAACACAAGCTTCCTGATTTTGGAGCATCTCCCAGAAGGCTTTTATTTAGCTAGATGGACAGGCAGACGCACAGGCAGCTAGAGGTACAGATATGTGTATCTACATGTGTATGTATACAAACAAAAACAAAACAGCAACAAACAGTAACACTGTGGAAGCTCTCAGCCTTCGCCTGCTTCTCAGAATTTAAGCGGTAATTTGTATCCATTTTCTCCAATTTAGTTTAGAAAAATAAACATCACTGAAGAGGACTCTCCCAATTCTGCCTCCAGTTTTTAAACACATTTATAGCCATCTTGGAAATGTCAAGCTATTGGAGATGAACAGATTGGTTGGCTTTCAGGAGTCTAAGGCTATAATTCTGATCCCTCTGAAAGCCTTGGCAGTTTTCTCGTCAATTTGAACCGGGGGGGGGGAGGGGGTGTCAGAATTTCATCCCCTGTTTGTTCAAAACGCAGAGACGGCAAAAGGAGTCTCCACATCTGGGTTGAGGTTGGAGCACTTTGAGGCCTACAAAGCCTTGCAACTGCCATGAGCGTGCCACACAAGTTGGGAGTGCCATGGCGCTCTTTCGTGCCACTGCCAGAGTTTCAGTTTTTGTTTTAGAGGAACACTTGTATATGCTTTTATGAAGTAATGTTTGCTTTGTAAGATATACATAACTTTCTAAGAAGTAACACAATCACTGAGAAACAGGCAGAGCGTGTTAGCAACCCACAGACCATAAAAGGCTGCCAACCTTATTTTCATTTGAGAGCTAACCACTTGGTTGCCCCTTGAGATAGTAGTTGACTACATGGCATTTGTCAATCACCCATGTGTTATAAAGTGATGTGTTAGTTTTTGGGGAAAAAAAAAAAAGCTATTTATTGCTCAGACCGTCTACTAGAAAAGTCATTTAAAGCCCAAGTAAGTCTCTGCTGTCAAACATCTAACAAGCCACTCACTCATAAGCTCGTCATTGCTTAAGTGTATTTTTGAAAATTTCATATCTATAAATAGATATAAACCACTCCTGTAGAAGTTAATCTGAAGAACAGAGTTTAATTCAGAAAACATGTAGGGAAGGTCATGCATATATTTTTCAGTATGTGCATACCGTAATACAGTTAGGTAAGCATCAAAGATAAAATTACACTCAACTTTTTTTTTTTTTGACTAGTGCATTGAAAAGGTATGTCTGTGTAATCATATTTAGCTTTGCAAGCTGCATACAGAAAGGTAAGGATATAAATGTATTGGCAAGTATATTGGTTATTTAGCTGCTGGTCAGATGAAAGTTCTGTTTAAAATATAGTGGGAAACTCACTTATCACTGTATTTCCATCAGGTTCAAACAAACACCTGCTAACCCAATCCATTTCCGACTGAACAGGGCTAATACCTGTATCTAGTCATGTAGGCATGGGAAGATTCTCGACTGCTACAACATTAATGACAAAAATCGCTTGTTTCATGTTTCTTCCTATATCTACTTGTCACGATACTGAGGCTTTGAGGAATGTTTTGGCTTTCTTTCATGTAGCCTGGATAAACTGTTATCTCCCTTTTTGAATTCAACTTTAACCATGGCAAACAGTAGTCTCAAGGACATCACATTTCCTTGCTCTTTCTTTTTTGCGGTGTTGAAGAAGCATGCTTCTCATTGTACCAGACACATGACCAATTCTGACTTTACACAAAGTACTCGAGGCATTGTCCATGCAGTTATTTGTTCTTGTAAGTTTTATGCATGCTTGCTAGAAAACTTAAGATGACTACACACCCAATCATCTGACTTAAAATTCCACTTTTTAGATTAAGAAGTGTAAAAATGGAACAAAGGAAACTGAACGATCAAGCCAACACTTTGGTGGACCTGGCAAAGGTTAGTAGGCACTTACTGTTGTTTTGCAGTAACATTCAGCCTTTCAAAATGAAGAGCTTGTAAGTGAAAACGTTAGGCATTACCCATGCAAATACTGTTAACAACTTTGTTATTTGTAGAAAAACAAAATGGTATCTATTATGGGTTAACATTTTAGTAAATGAAACATTGCATTTACAGCACCGGTCAAGGTTTGAATGCACCAGGTTTGTGGGGAGGGGGAAGATATTTGAAAAAAAGATTTCACAACTGAGGGCTGATCCTAAGAGCTGCTGAACTGACTGCAATAATCATGCTTAGCCTGAACTGCGATAGGGCAGCATTTGCTTAGAGCTGTATTGGAAAGGATTCTGCTTTCCAGTTAGGGGCGACTGTGCCATGAGGGACCACAGTTTCCAGGCTCTCACACGGACTGAGATGAGGGGTGCTGGGTTTCCAACTCCAGCTCTTTTGGGACTTTAGACTTTAAATGCCTACGTCTCTATTCGTTCCAAGAATAACAAGTGACCGCTTTGCTGATCTATTATAAGGCTTGCTTAGGCTATTCAAGCACAAACTACTTGCCTGTTGTTTTTTAAATATAAAACAATAACTAGACAGAGGCAGCTGAGCGCATTTTGGGTTTCACATTAGACTAATATGTATGCATATACATAAAGTGCATCATCAAGGCAAGGATTAGACAGACAGTGCAGTGTTTGTTCCCCTTTTGCTGTAGGGAACCACCTGCCTTAGCATCAGTTGCTGAAAATACATCTCACTCCGGGGGGCTCACTCTGGCAACTGATAAGGACTTTTCAGCTACTATTTCATGTAGACTAATTTACTTTCAAGGATTATGCTAGCATCTTGGGGGGGGGGGAAGGAAAATGGATTATAGACACTCATCTGATACCTCAGTGCTTTGCACTTCAGGTAGTCAGTTATTCAATTAATTTTTCATTCCTGTGTAATGGATTATAAACTCCAGCCAGCGTGTCTACCAAATTACATCCAATTATTTCAGCTTCAGTGTAAGTCTAATCTGAAGTCTTAGTCTACAAGAGGGAGAAAAATCAGTCATTATTTTTAACCACTTCTGTGCATCAATTGCCAGAAAAACAAATGGAAATGAAAGAATAAAAAGTGACAGACTGAAATAACACACTTCTTTAGTTTACATTTGTACTGACCATTATGACATTTTAAAGTTTACCTGCATACTTTCCATTAGGAAACACTGTCTTGTAGAGGACAGATAGATGGGGGAAGGGTAGAAGCAGAGAAGTGTACGCGTGAGGCTTTACTCCTTGCTCTACATTTCAAAAAGCAGTCTCCCTTACTACTCTTATTTACAACCAGTTCAAAAAAACCTGCTCAGCTTAAGGAGAAAACAAGCAAAACTGTTCTGCTTAGAAGTATCTAGGTGTTTAAAAATCAGAGGAGAGTCGAGAGTGTATCACTGCGCTTTGCAACTTTTGGTCTCCTCAAGGCTTACACAATTAATTCTGGTCACAAACCTTAGGATGTTGCTTTTCTAAGCACCAAACTTCTAAAAAGGTCTGGTGTTTTATCTAATTCATTAAGAGCTAGACGTTTAAAACGCTACGGAAAATATCAGTGGTGTTTCATTTACGTTCAACAGATTTAGCATCAGTAGAAAGTTTGATGAGAATCTAGAGGTAAAATGATTTCGTAAGACTAGATCTTGCTCTGATATTCTTCTCCTCTTTCGTGAGGCGCAGAACCACTTAGGAACCCTTGTTAAGCTGTGCTGCGTGTTGCCATGATTGTGAGATCGCTCTAAACTTACTTTGCTTACATCCTTCTACTTTCAGACTCAAAACATCATGTACGACATGATCTCTGACTTAAATGAAAGAAGCGAAGATTTTGAGAAGAGAATTGTTACTCTGGAAACTAAACTGGAAACTTTAATTGGTAGCATTCAAGCTCTCCCGGGACTGATTAGCCAGACAATCAGCCAGCAACAGAGGGATTTCCTCGAGGCTCAGATACAAAACTATGATAAGCATGTTGCCTACAGTGCTGAGCGATCACGGTCTTTGTCAAGAAGAAGGAGATCCTCCTCCACAGCACCACCAACTTCATCAGAGAGTAGCTAGAAGAGAATAAGTTAACCACAAAATAAAGACTTTTTTGCCATCATATGGTCAATATTTTAGCTTTTATTGTAAAGCCCTACGGTTCTAATCAGCGTTATCTGGGTTCTGATGTCAGAATCCTGGAAACCTGAACACAAATGTTTTAGGCCAAAATGAGTGAAAACTCTTTTTTTTTTTTTTTCTTCGCCCCCCCCCCTTCCTCCTCTCAGATGCACAGTGAATGCACCTATTATTGCTATATTAGATTGTTCCTCCTGTACTTTCACTAACTTTTTATTCATGCACTTCAAACAAACTTTACTACTACAGTATATAATATAATAAAAAGGTTAATTTCTGCACTTACTTGCTTGGTTGCTTGGACTTTAACAGTTTAAAAAAAAAAAACATTATGATCAAAAGGCCTAATTCTAAACCTTTAAGAAACAAGATTCAGGCTTAATTATCCCTCAGTATGAAAACTCATTCTTTAAACTTTGCTGGCAGTGGAAGGGAAAAAAACAAAAACCCCAGTGTTCCTCTAACAGTGTGCTGTGCATGTATAGTCTTTTAAAAAGGTCACTGATGGCTTCAGTTACTCAAGTGATTAGTTAAAAATATAAGTCATCCTAGAAAATCAGTTAGGAGGTATGCCATGAGTTTTTAGAAATTTCTTAGGGCTTTTGTTTAGCATTTTTCTCCAATAATGCATTTGTACACTCACACAGCCACACACATACACACATATACATATATATAAAAATTATTTATGCAATGCCCATGGCAAAGACTTTTTAAACTGACTACTTGTGCAAAAAAAAAAAAAGCACAGCTGAATTCCCATTAGTTTATTCAGGTATTGGCATTTCATAACTGTACCCAATAAGTATATCCAGACAGAAGTATCACTTTGAAGCTGGTAGCCTCCCGTTAAAACTCTTTGGCTTGGAAAGTCTTAGGTTGGTCCTTTCTCCACTCCCAGCTGTGGGCTTCAGGTTTCTGGAGCGACTGAAGACACAGCGGTACAGCACACACGACTGTGTTATGGCCACACAAGAGTCTGTGTCCATCACATGTCGGCAGTCCCCAGGGCCTCTGCTATGCAGCCAAGCTTAGTAAGACACTTTTAACAATAATTTTTAAAAATGTTGGAAACAAACCTGGCATAGACTGAGTTACACCAGTGGGGTATCTGTGGTACTTGCCTTTCATGCATTAAATAAAAAGGTCTCCTACTTTCCTTAGGAAGCATATGGTACATGTTTGTGAAACAGCTTCAGCTCACTTTTCTTTTGGTTTCTAGTCCAGAGCAGCAACCCTGGGTAATCTTAAATGCACAGCACATACAATTTGCACTCACAATTTCTATTTATAAATAGGAAATTAGTTTACATTACAAAATATTTTATATAATTTGCTCTTTTATAAATAGCAAATTACATTAGCTGCCATTAATTTACAGACAAAGGGGCCAACTATAGGTAAGTGTAGCCACTAAGTATAGGCAACCGTTTCCTAGGAATACTCAGCCTGTCTCGATGTAACTAACATGCATGGTGAAGGAAACGAGGACTGCCTTATGGAAAGATTACGAGTTCTCGTCAGTCATGACAGCCAGGGAGGCTGGTAACACAGAAAGTCAGGCACGCCAGAAGAGCTATTCTCAACACCCCACATTCCCCAAACCAAACACAAGGCCTTTCATCATCTGAAAACCGGCACACGTTTTAGGCCTATTTATAAAAGAGGGCTTGCCTTTTTAGTTCAAAGACGTGTGTAATTGATGAGTGTGAGTTCTGTCCAGAGGCCTTGTTTGGTTATAAAAAGCTCAAGAGATTCTCCAGTACCTTCTGATCCTTTGAAAAGGTGATGGCTTTTTGCGTTACCAGAGGAAAAAGATGGATAAGAGTATATAACGCTACTACTGAGCCAGCTCAGTCACAGTAAATCCTAAACTAGATGCTATTTGGAAGGCAATGAAGCCAGCTGCTTTACATGGTTGGCAAGGTTAGAAGCATTGATTAGTAAAACTGGGATTGAACAGTTAGGCATCAGGCTCTTTTTCTGAAAGATTTTCATTTTGCCATTCTCCCATTTTTTCGTGTATGTTTCAGAATATTTTTGCTGTCACTGAACGCAAAATACCCTTTCTGTAGCTTAAACCATTGCTTTTTCCTCTTGTCAGCGTGAACTAGCTCTTTTCTTGCTTACAACATCTTTTTGTATTTGTAAGATCTTTTTTATTAGTATTTTTTCCCCCTCTAGATTGTACAACTGGGTTTTTAAAGATCTGTACTTCCACATTAAAAATTCTCGCTGCTCTCTCAGAGTTGAGGTTGAGTCAAGATCTGGCTACACGTGTTGAGCTGGCTTCTCCTGCTGTGAAAGAGTAACTGTCACCTTAACCCCTCCAACCTCTGTTACACGGTAGGACTCAAGAGCCTGAGCCTACTAACTTCTTGCAAGCAGTCCTGTTAGGTGTAATGGGACTAATCATATCAACAGGACTTTGTAATAGTCTGCCAAATTATCTTGCACTCCTACAAGTGACAACCCCATGGAATACTCCAGAATAAACTAAGAAATCGAACCAAAGCTCACTGCAGATTTTATCTGAATTTTTGACACTGATAATTCTTTCCTTCTAATATCTGGCTTAGAAAAGCACTACATGTGAATCTAGTCCAAGAAAATACAGATACAGACTTACATTCAGGAGAGCACAAAGTACTAGAGCTTTAGCTTTCTTATTCCTAATACAAAATTCCTTTTCATTTTTCCTTGTTTGACCCTTGTACCACAAATTCCATTACTAATTTTTTTTTTTTAATTTCTGAAACATAAGCTCCTTCACAATGTTCACCATACCAGCTCACCAAAAGAAGAAAGCATTATGGCAGATCTCTGAAACTGCTTCTATAGTTACATTTAGATTTTTCTTTGAATGTTTACAAATAACAAGGAATCTCTCACAAAAAGCACATGGCCTATTTACTGTATTACAAGTTGAAGAGCCTCACGCATGCTTTAGTTTAGTCTCATGGATTGGAAAATTCAGCTTTCATTTGCTGCTGAATCTCTCCATTTCATTGCATTCCACTTACCGGTTATTTTGGAGCCTTATTGCTAATCCCTGCATTTTTAGTGATTCTTATCAAAGATATCTTGCCAGTAAAGACGAGCGCAAACAGGCATCTTCACCATGTTTAGGTGCATTCATTTAAATGGTGCATGTTATATTTCAGTCTCTGCAGGATCAGAATAATTTGCTCACAGCACAATATACTTGCAAAACACTCTGCAGAGCTTAATTCTGCAAATCAGTATCCATCGTAAGCCTGGAGATGTTCCCAGATGGACCTGCACAATTGAGATTTCCTTTACCTTCCGCATCTCCATAGCATTGGCTCTGATGCGGAAGGAGCTTCACTACCTCAAAGTTAAAGCATCCATCTTAGGAGCTCTGAACACCTTCTGGAACCCCAAACCTTTCCTCATGATTTAAAAACTTTGGGTCCCTAGACTCGGGGCTCTCAATCACTGTCGTCATCAGACGTCAAAGAGAGGCAACAGGCATATTGTTTTACTGCGCTTCCGTTTGTAAGACTCTTCCCATGTCAGCTCATACATGGGCCTTCAAAGCGATGCAAAGGACAATAAAAGCATTTTTCAATATAAAAGAAGAATAAACGGGTTAAATATGAGTGCCTAACTATCCAGAATAGAACCTATTACCCATGTCAGTTCTCCAGATGGAAATTGTCCCAAAGCTCTTTTCCCCTAATTAAGGGTTACAAAAAAAAAAATTCAGTAAGTTCTGTCTTCAGAGGAAAGATTTTCTAATTAGCAAGTCTGTTCCTTCCATTTATCAAAAATTTTGTTGCTCATATCATTTTTTCCTTTCTCAAAAGGGAGAAAAGGAAAAGCTAGCACCTCCTTTGCCTTTCTTCCCACCCATCTCAGAATAATTAAGCAGTATGAAACAGCCAAACAAAGAGGAAAAGGGAGGAAAGAGCTAACGCTGTCTAACTTTTCGGAACCTAGTCCCTACCAGTAAGTATATCTGCCTGCGCAGGTAGAAACAGTCACAGACTTCCTCCACCAATGCTCCTGGCTACTTAGATACAAGCCAGCTGAGGCCCAGGTAAAGCACTGGCATATTGGTACAGTCCAGAGGTGGAGCTTATCCACATTTAGAGCCAAGCATTTATGTATGTTGTACTTTATGCATGCTTATTAATAAAATTATTCTACATCTGTCAGTCAAGGCTTAGGAATCTGATTCTATACCTGGGCAATTAAATAGAGATGTTTAGGAAATGTCTTTGCAGTCGGCTGTGCACCAGTATACCTCCAACCTGCCTGAGCTCCACATCATCTGCGCATCAGTGCTGGTCCAGAGACATGATAGTGAGTTAACAGCGCTGAGCAAATAACCGCCCATCTCGCAGCAATAGGCGAATGCACAGGATTATCGGGAGAGTTCTGTTAATTTTTGCAACTGTCCTCAAGACATGAGGCTTAGCACTGCACCAAGCCTAGTGCAGACACTTGACTTTTAGCCAAGAATTTGCTTGCAGCCAGGCAGTTCAGCACATGGATGGAGCAGGTGCAGTATCGTCTGGCCAGGGTGTGTAGACATGCTCTAAGAAAGCTAAAATGGAGTCCGTTGCCAGAATTAGCGTGATCATGTTGCCCTGTATTAGACTTTATCACAGTGATATAGTTCAAGTTCCATTAAGTCCATAATTTTCAGGCTTATATTTAAAGAAGTTTCTCCTGTGGAAAACTGCAAGCCTTTCCACATAAAGGAGGAGATGCAATATAGGCGCAGTGCAAATAAAACCGTAAGCCAAATATGAACCTGTTGCAGTGTAACATGGCAAGTGACCAAACTGGCTGTAGAGGTGAAGCATTTATGTTGACTTCCCTTGCATTCAGATTCACTTAACCCCATTAACATCCTTAACTATTTAAGGAAATCTAGATTGTTTTCAATTATACATGAAGAAAGCAACATTTTTTTAGTTAGAGGTTCCACTTTAAAATGATGCTTATTCTAACCTCTCATTGTCTTCCAAACCTGCCTTTCCAAATATCCTAAGACGAGTCTAAAAAGAGACTGCATGTTCTGTTACACTGCAATGAAGCCAGTCCCTAAGCAGAAAAGCATCTCCAGTCCAGATGGACCAGTCAGTCAGTCACACGGTACAAAGGAACAATAAAGAAGATGGAGAAAATGCTGGCATAGGCGAATCGGCCAGTCACAAGCTTCAGAGCTTAGAAGAGATTTAAGTGAAGCTTCTGAAAGTCACGGGCAGCAACGAAGAGACAATCGTGTTGCCTGACAAGGAGCCATAGAGATGCACTGTCTGTGTTTAATAGCATCCATCACT